TCAGCGGCAATTCGGCGGACGGTCCCTCACTCCTGCTCGGAGCGAAGGACCTCCCGCCGAATTGCCGCCGCAGATCGCGATTGCGGCTTTTTTTGTTTGTTTGTTTGTTTGGCTGCTTGGGGCGGCCAAAACCCTGGAGCCGGCCCAAGTTCCTCCCCACAAAAAGTGTGTGTGTGTGTGTGTTAATGTTTAAATAAAGAGGATTGCAAACATATCCTTTTGATTAAGAACCATGGATATTGCTTTCGTTATACATTCCTTTTGAAAGGAAATATAAAAGAGCCACCTTGTAAACCAAACTATAGAAACTTCATTAACAGGAGTGACTTGCCTTCCACTCAGAAGCAGCCTTGAATTGCCTCTAGGAGCTTCAACACCCGGATCCAATTTTCGAGGCAGCTTTTGTAATTTCAAGATGTGAATTTTTGAAAATGAGCTTGTCACTGTAGGACTTCCAAACCAAAGTGTGGCACATGTTCAAGGACTGGCCTGAAATGACAAGGACTCATATTGTATCTTCTGCTGGGTTAAACATCATCTCATATAACATGACACTTGCCAGGCATGCAACATATTTCCTTGTTGTGTGTGCAGGTGTTGATAATGGAGAGGCCAGTAAGTGGGAGAGAAGAATCTGCAAGAAGTGCTCTATAAATTATATTCTTAAACGGATATTCAGGTATAGATTAGGGACCAAATTCAAGCCTCATTTTAAACCAGTGTGCAACCCCACAGCAGTCAGTTGGGTGACATAGAAGTGAGAGCAGAATTTGGCACTCAGTGTTCATATATACTACCACCGTGCTCCACCTCTGTAACAGCTTGAACCACCACTGCCAATGGTTTGATCTTGGAGGATTGCTGGTATCATCTTGCAACTCCAGAACTGATTAGAGAACTCCACCTTCCATTTTGAGAGCTGTCTCTGCAGATCCCCTAATGATTCACTACCCCCTTGGTGCTATGAGCTCAGAACAATCTAGAAGGCAGTGACTGTTGGGTCTGTCTTTCCTCCAGGGTAAATCACTTTTCCAGTAAATCCCACAATAAGCCAACCCCCTCTGCCCAATTTCTCTGAATGATTCTAATGTCTCTGTCTCATTTTAGAGAGAGCTGCATTATGCTATGACTTTTGCACAAAACGTTTCATTTAGATGGTATGGTACACAATCGGGTGATTAACTGTAGGTGTATTGTCATAACAGGAAAATGACTCCCTATATAACTAGCCTTACATTTAATATACATTTCCTTTTTAATTACTGAGGGGAAAAACGAGAGAGATGTTGCACTCTCTCCCAAGTGTTGGTGTGCTCACACCCATTTGAAGTGGTGGTGTTGGTGTAAGGAAGGGTTGTTTTGACTTCTGAGCGCTGTTGATCTGTGGCGTTATGATTTGAAGTAGCATCAGATTAGCACACTGCCAGGGACAACCCTAGCTTTGCTTTGGAGGAGAATACCATGACTGCAATATAGTTTCTGATTTGGTCCCCTCTTTATTCCTGTCCCTAACAAACTGTGATTCAATTCCCTCTTGTTTTTATATTCTCCTTCTCCTAAATACACTGGATGAAATTCTGGCCCCACTGATGTCAAAGGGAGTTTTGCTATTGATTTCCATGGGGCCAAGGATGTCACCCACTATTCCAGCAGTTGTCCTGAGGCCAATGTTCGTTCTGTACACTGCACAGCAACAGTAATGGTGTAGTTTTTATATTCTGTGAAATATGTTCTTAGATTTGTTTTTTTTAAATGAAAGGACCTATAAATTACATTGTAAACGTTTTGGGGCAGGTACCGTGTCTTCCTGTGTGCCAGTACAGCACCTAGCATTGTGGATCCTGATCCTGACTGCAGTCTTCCAGCACTACAACTAATAAATAATATTAATAATGTTTTTGTTCAGAACTCTAACACTTCTCTCATCTGCACAATCTGGCCCACTGCAAATACCCCAAATAAATCAATGAAGTAAGGTATTACGCAACATGAGTATGGGTGGCGGAACCAGACCTTTGACTCTTACTGTTAAAGCAAAGGTATGATTAAAAACCTTGCATGTTGTTCTGCATAATTCATGTACTGCCTGTACAGAATTGCACAAAGCTGGAACCAATTTTTTTTACAGAAGGGATAGCAATTATTGTTTTTTTAAATCCCCTCTCTTCTTGTCCTTATGCACCCAGGTATTAAGTGCCCTTCATCTCTGAGCTCTTGTGTATCCACTTGTGAGACCCACTAAGTTATATTAGTAAGGACAGGACCTGGGCTTTGCTAAGTCACTGGAGCTTACCCAGCAGAACTGAATTTATTGTTCAGTAAGTGCAAGGTCTAATGTAAGTCTGCAGTTTCTTTTCTTATGAAATCCTTAGCAATCTCACCTTCACCAGCTGTTGTGTAGAAATGAGCCATTCATGGAAATCCACTGGATGTATTTACATTTGAAGGAGGACTTTTTTTACAGCACCATTTTATTTTTAAAGTGAATTTGTCAGATTTGAGCACTTTTAAAAGTGAGATGGCAAATCTTAGGAAGATCAAATGAGCTCAGAAAGAAAAAGAAGAGTTGATATTGTCTGAAAAGCAGTTAGGTGACCATATAATTAATTTTTTTTAAATTTCAAAGGCAGCTCTAAAATGCAGAAAGGTGTTTGGCAATGCCATGAATTTAATAACACAGTAATTTTGTGAAAGGATAATTGTGCAGCTTTTTAGAATAAGTAACCATTCAAAAGCGAGGACCAGACAGTTTAGCTGGGGGAGAAAATATACTACGATACATTCATATGTGTTCAAAATCAAATTCAGACATAAAAAGGAAGCCATGCCTTCTGGGTAACTTTGTGACAAGCTATTGAATTCCTATCTTACCAAAAATCACCAGGATTCTGTCTCCGTTTTGTTCACATGCATAAATGAGAGTTACCATACACCTTCTTCAGGGAATATTTGAAAGTCTTGTCAGCCTGGTTGCCCTGTCTAACAATTCGTCGTTCCCCTTCCATTCTTCCAAACACCCCTTTCTAACCCCAAACAAGCAAAAACGTAACTCTGCTGTTGCTAACCAATGTTTTGAGAGCTCTGATGCTGCATGGCCCCTTAAATCCCAGAGTGACATGGGCCCTCCCAACCTCCTCCCATAGAGGGGAGAGTGGCTGGCATCATATGTAGGAGTTGCCAGAATGGATCAGACTCTATTGTCTAACATCCTGTCTCTGACAGTGAGCAACACCATATGCTCCAGGGAACGTGCCAGAAATCCCACAGTAGGGAGATGTGGGATAATGTGCCTGCCATGAAAGTCTTTACTTGTACATACACTCAGTTTTGTGGGTAACTTCTTTTTTTCTTGGGTTGCCTCAGTTTCTGTGGGGTGGTCAATGTGGATGAAGGGCTCACTGGGACATTGGGTCCAGAGTGGTGAAGCAGGCTGGTGGGGACATATCAATGAGGGGTGGTGAAGCAGTTATTTTTAACAGAGGTAGTTCAAACTAACATTTTTCTTTATGCTATCTGCCTGTTATTGCTTGTATACCTTGTCTAAGCTTCTTAGGCAGGGACTGTCTATTATTATGTGTTTATACAGTGTCTAATGCAATGGATTTCCAATCCTGACTGAGGCCTCTAAATGCTACCGTAATACAACTGCTACTAATACCAAAGCTCCTCTAATGCCATTGGACCTGTTCTGCTCAGGTCACTCTGCATGGCAATGAAACAGCATTGGAAAAGCGTTACATGAACCCTGGTCAGAATAGTGTTGCGGAAGCAGGAGGAAGAGCAGATTGCACCACACTCATCATAAATGTTGTTTTCTTTTAAAATGTGTATATTTGTATATGGAGAAAAGGAAGATAAGGAGATTATGGGACCTGAGAGCAGCTACATTCCTTTGCTGCCTGCATTCCTTTGCTGTCTGAGTAATTAATGGTGAATGAAGGGTGAAGTTGTCTTGAATCTTCTAGATGCTGCCTAACATAAGTGAGGCAAAAAGCACCACTAATACATTCACATATACTAGGTACATCCTTCTTCAATTTCCAGTGAAGACAATGAAAGAAATATTGGCACTTCAAAGAACACTATCACACTTTGATGATGGTTAGTAAAACAGGTGGATGAATATGAACATGGAGAATATGAGTAAAAAGGTCGTGAAATATGAATGAGAATATGAGTAAAAAGGTATGAAATATGATATGACACTGCAGGACACACAAAGTCCTGTCCAGTCTTCAGTTTCTGTCATTTTGAATTTTCTGTCAATAGAAGCTTTAAAAGCTTAAGTTTATTCTGAAAAATCGCACTGTGGGATTTACCTCTGCTGAAAGAAGTGTTTTGACATGAAAACAAATCGTTTAACACTTTCCCCACAGGCCAAAGAGATTTCCTCAGACACTCACAGAAGTTGGTGCATCTTGTAGGACTACAATACTTTTCAACTGACACTCAAGACCGTTCAGCATTATGGGGATAAATATAGTACCAGCATGATGAGGTTTATTACTTAAATGCCATTGGAAGCCAGCTAAAGGAATATCAGCCATAAACCAGAGTTAGAAAGAACCTTATTAAGGTTAGAGTGTACACACAGTATGAAAACATAAGTAGTGAATGAGCTATCCTACTGCTCGCTTAACTTGTGAGAACTGATATAATTCATGTAATTGCGTATTGACTGGCACACAACCAAGACATTCAGTTCTAGATTCTCAGTTGGCATAACTTGGTGGAGGTCCATTGAAGTCAATGGAACTTTGCTGATTTACACCGTGTGAGGGTCTGACCCATACTTTTCTAAATGTCATAATTGGATCACTGTCCTGCAGTGATCCAGTTATGTTCTTTGATTTTTTTGAAATGTTGTAAAGGTATCAAAAGCTAAGAACTTGTATGATAGACTTTTTGAAAGCAAAAGTAAAAGTTGACTGCCATGTTATTGCTTGGCAAACAAAGTGTTGCATTCTTATTGCTCTTTCCTTATTTTGTTGTTGTTTCAGGTTGGGTTTCCCCATGATGATTGTGTCCTGTACTATTGGGATGTGTTATCTCCTTGTTGCTCATGTCGTACTGGGTTGGAACTCTTAATAATTTATACTTTCAAGACCAAAAGAAGCTTTCTGTCTCGTTCGATCTATACATCAGAGCACTAAGAAGACACCATAGAAAAGAAGAAGAAAAAAACCCAACTTTAAAAAGCGACATATTGATTAAAATGATTGGCAGTCTTAGTTTTTGTCATTCATAACCTTATGTTCTGTGAACAATTTGCAGAGCTGAGTATTGAAGTTTAAAGGATTCAAATTGTTTGTCATGGTCAATATTAATAAGCACATAAAGAGATACCATCACAAGGGAATATGTTGTGTCCTGAAACTTTGTCTTGTTACAATCTGAGTACAGTCACAAATGAAAAGACCTCATTCACAATGGAAGATGTTCAGTAGTTTCTTCTTAGGGGTTCATTTGTCTTTGTCAATATATTTAGCTATTTGTATAAAAGTAACTAACATTCAGTCTGTACAAGCTGTAACAATAGACATATAAGCAGACAATCTGTACACTATAAAGGATGTACCATTGTCTGTGTTCAAAAATAAAAACATCCCAATAAGAATTTGATTTGTAAGAAATTATTCTTTTGAAATTGACTAATAAGTCATACGCCCTAATGTTTTTTCAGTTTAAAATTTCTTGTTCTTTCTAATCTTGTTGGGCATAGAATGTGGCAGAGCAAAGCAATGAACATTTTACTTTCAATTATTAATTCAGTTCTTTAGTGGATTACCCTAAATCTTTTAATAGGTTCAGATATACCTGTAAAATGAAATCATACTTTGGCTGTGCTTTTGTTTTCTTTGATAATACTGTGTTAAATCATATATATATATATATATATATATATATATATATGATTCATATATTTGGCTATTGGACCAGATCACATTATTTATTATGAAAGCGATTTCAATCCTCATCTTCTAAGCCTTTCCTGGGATTGGCCCAAATAAAAGTCCCTCTCGTCCTGTGTAACGCTAGAACTGACATGCTGAAGAGTGAAACTCGTGTGAATAGGAGTGAATTTCAGTGAACGAACGCAGAAGAACAAATGATGTCACTTGCCCCTGTTTCTAGTAAAGTGATCTGGGAAGTGACAAAGGAAACCGGTAATAGTCTCTTTCCCCTGGAGGATTTAATATTAATAATAAATCATATAGCTTGACCCACCCAAGTAGCTGGAGTAGCTGATCATTTGCAGGTTGTATTCCTTGACTAAATGCCTTTGAATTCAAAATCTAATTTAACTAGCATAATTCAAATTAGCTACAATGTTCCTTCAAAGAATGATTATCCCTCCTCCATGTTGCCTTATCCCAATAATGAGCGCAAACCCCGGACCCCCTTTTCAATATGTTGCTTTATAAACAAACAGAACAAATAAACCCAGCCTGAAACACATACTTATGGGACTGAGCTGGGCCTAAGTCCCATTCAAATCCATAGGAAAGCTGCAAAGTTTTTCTTTTGGAGGAGTGCTTTACTCCGTAAAGAATGAAATTCTGTTACCATTCGAGAAATGTGGGTGCTAATTTGTGTTGATCCATAGTTTTAAAAAATCATGGTAATTTCAATTGCTCTCCACATTTCTCATGTCATGCTTATGATAGTGAGGTCGAGGGATTGCTCTTTACATGCTGAATAAAACAAGTGAGAAAGCTGATTCAGACCCTCTTAAATGCCTTTGTTCTTACATATTGCCTTTTACTCACCAATGTATATAATATGTTTCTTTTTCTTATCTATAAGAATCAATCTTACCTTCTGAGGGCCAAGCCTTCTACATAACTTTAAAAAACAACAACAAAATTGTAAGAAAAATAAACCCTTGTTTGAGTTCCAGCAACACCAAACATAGTCAAGCCAATAATGTGGTTGCACTACCACACATGAAAATACATGGCCCCATTTGCAACTTCCTGGAAAGGGATGGTGGGGGGGCATTAGGTCACATTACCACCTACCCATCACATCTACTCATCCAAAATACTGGTGTGGGTAGGTGGTCTCATTGGTTTCTATTTAGGAAGCTCTGCCAGCAGGACTGTTTTGAGATTTTCTTTGTCCTAAACTACTTGATCTGCCAGTGGTGGGTGTATAGTACACAGGGAATAAAATATTATGTTTAAACAGTTATCCCATATTCTGAGGCAACCAAAAGTTTTAGAATAAATTCTGTCTATTTCTAGAAGAAGTTTGCTATGCTGTAATATTTTTCTGATAATTTCCTTGAAATAAAACTGATTTATTTCCTGGAGCATCCTTGCTGCTTCATTTGTATTGTGAAACCAGGCTTACTGAGAGCGCAGAGGACAAAACAAATGAGGAACATAAGATAATGTTGTTTGTTTGCACAGGGTTTTAAGTGATTGTAATCGAGTGCTCAGCAACCAAAGGAAGAATGGTGATACATCAACATGTTTTTCTGCCGTATTACTTTTGTTTCTCACTTCAGCAGACAATGTGCTTAAATGAGAATTACACACATGCTTCAGAGCATTTCAAGATAATGCAGTAATTTTCATTGACTTCCTTCATAATTATTAGAGTAATCTGCACAGCAGAATGGCTACATGCTCAACATAACTAGTGCACGGGATTGGTTGGAATACTATTTACAATGAAAATGAATTTAAAAGTTTGAAAAACAGAGAAGTTTAGTAATACATTATATAATTAGATCATCTATTGTATGTTTAGGGCTGGTATCTGTGAGCCTGATTCTCATTTTCACGAAGGCCCCTTTACATCACTCTGGCAATGGAATGGGTTTTAGAGTGAATATAAATTTATGCCTAGTTTGAGGCTCTTTTACCAGAATGGTGTAATGAAAAAACAGGCCTTGTATGTACAATTTCCACCCCTTTGGCCTGACAGGAAGTATGCTCCAGCCTAAGATTTAAGAGACATGGATTAAATTCCTGGCTTTGGGGAAGTCACTTAGCCTCTCTGTGTCTCAGTTCCCCATCTGTAAAATGGAGATGATAGCACTTCCCTATGTCACAGATTGTGAGAGGCTCAGATAGCAATGGGGATTATATTAGTGCCATAGATAGATTCACTGCTACATTACTCTATCGAAACCAATGTGGAACACAGAAAACTTTTAGAACCTACATTGCAAGAGAATTCAGAAATACCTAGCCCCAAAAGAGAAGATATCTTACTGGTAGTCCAGAAGACCTGCCTACTGATCTGATTCATTATTATTAATCAAATAATATTTTAATACATTTATCACCAGGGTAACCAAGTGGCTCAGAATGCATCACTTCAATTCAACCAAAATAATGTTTAAAATCTATCACAGTTGTTTCAGAGAAGATACCAATGTTCTTCCTGTAAGGACAAGTACTATACAATTTACTTTGACTTTTTATGCCAAACAGAAAGTATGAAAGCATGCGAGGCTTCAACAGAAGTATCACTTCTCTTGACCTGTAAATTCCTCTAGAATTGTAAACATCCAGGATAATATTATGCAAATTTAAAGAAAGATTATCTTTTGTGAATTTGTTATTCATTTTTGAATAACATTTGAATAGCTTTGTACGTAATTGAAATGTAACAGTAAATCAGGACTTCCTTTTCCTTTCTGCTCATTGTTGGCAATTTTAACATTTAAAAGCAGAAATGCATTTAACTCTTGATTGTAAGCATCTCGCATGAAAGCCTAGCCCTAATGGGGAATGTTGCCACTGATTTCAATAAAGCAAGGATTTCACCCTTGATTCACAACCGCTATAAGAATGAAATGTATTACAGTATGATATTTGTGATACTAACGTCAGAAAATGGAAATCCAACAGAAGGGAAGCCAATTGAAAGGAATATAAACTACGGCAAGTATTGTGTAAGAAGGAAGGTTAAGATGGAATTTGAAGACCAAATAGTCAAAGAGATAAAAACAAATAACTATATCAAATATATCAAAATTAGGAAGATCATGGGTGCATTGGACTGCCACTGGATAAGGGGAACAATTAAAGAAAGGGGACAATACAAAATAATGAATGGTATAGAACAGGTAGAGTTGGCATGTTTATTGAGCCTTTCTCAAAATACAATACAAGGGGACAGTCAATGAAAATATTAGGCAGTGAATTTCAAACTGATTAAAGGAAATATTTTTCACATCATGCAGAATTTGTCTTTGGAACTCACTGCAATAGGATATCACTAATGCAAAATTAAACCAAAATAATTGTCATTTATATGTGAGCATCCAGAGTTACAATAATAAGGATTAGTAAACCTCCCAGGATTTTGAAAGAGATATAATACCTCAGGCTTCAGGGCATAAGTCAAATTCTAACTAATAGGCATAGGAAGAAAATTTCCTTGTTGGGTAGGTTATTTCTAGAGTTTGTTGGGAATTCTCCAACAAAAATTGGGTTTTCTCTGGAAAAATGCTGAGTTTGTGTAAAATTTCGAGGTTTTGGAATTTTTCATTCCACCTTGAAACAAAACAGACCTTTCCATTTTTTTCATGGAGACAGAGACCCACTGCAGAATAGCCCATATCATGGTAGTTAGAGCACTCATGTGGGATGTGAAAGACCCAGTTTCAGGTCCCTGCTATGCCTGATTCAATTTCAATCTATATATTGGGGGTAATGACATCTACTTTTGTAAACACTTAGAAATCTACACATGCTATATAGCTACTAAGTACTATTTTTATAAATAACAGAATTAGGATTAGCTGCAAATACCATCTATTATTTTAAAGACCCAGGTGTGGAAAAAATGTGGACGCGCCCTTGTTGATTCGTCCAGTCTCTCTTCTGCCCACCTTAGCAGCACTATCAGTCCATCCTGTGACTGCAGTTACTTCAAACTCCCTTCTGGCCACAAATCAGTTCTCTATCTCCCCTCCAGCAACTCAATCCTCTGCCTCACTAGCAAAATTCACCCATTAGCTTCCCAGCCCTACACCTTGTGCCTCTGCCTTCTAGCAAAATTAATTCTCTGCCTTCCCTCAGATGATTAGATAGGGCGCAAATTGGACAAGGGCCACATTGCTCACAAATTCCCTGATTCTATATTCCACCCAACCTCCTTCAAATCCAATTTTTTTCCACTATAGTTTCTCCATTACAGACATGTGACAACCTATTAAAACATAGATTGTATGAAAAAGGAGCCACACATTCTGTGCAATTCATGCAAGCCCATAACCTTATTTATATGAACCTCTTGCCCTTTCTACATGTCCTCTGGCATTAACGCTGAAGCCTGAAATTTGAAAAAGAATATAGAGAAGCAGGGGGATTGTTGGTTCAAGGAATTAGTAATAGGCTATTGAGCCTTTCAACTCAAGGGCACTGCTCAAACCTCACTAAGGTAAGTATTTACTGTAAATCATTTCTATTTGATGTCTGTTTTATATCTTCCGTGAAGTGAGTTTGGTGGTCTTGCCCGGTGAACAAGTGCCACATAGTACATAGCTCTAATGGATAGCTTGAGAAAAATGACCAAAGAGCTGACTAGGCATCATGGCTGGAGCAATAGTCCTGCTACTAATTCTTCAAGAAAATGGATTGATGTTTCTTGATTAGGAGCATTCAGACCTGGCCCAAGCTAGGTGTGGGGGGGAAAAGCGTGAAGGGGACTGTGCAGTTCTGTAAGGAGGCAAGAGAAATGTTAGTGAGCATGTCTGGGTGTCTTCACCCTCCT